AGGTGAGTTATGCAGGAGTGTGTGTGGAGTGTATATACATGTTTGTTTTGGTCTTTTGTCTTGAAAATCCAGTATTTGGAAGATTAAACACTGAGTGGTAATTACCTAAAAAGTAATAACCAAGGTAATGAAATACTTTGTCAGACTTGTGTAAAATTGATTTGGAATGGTAATGGAAGTTCTATTGTCTCTTGTTCACAACTTTTTTCTCTTTGTGAAATTCCTTTTCTGTAGGCATTGTGGAGAGGATATTCTTGGAGAAAGAGTAATGACACAGCAAAAACTAAAGCTTTAAGATGCAGTTTAGAAAAGGCTAATGAAAAGAGCAGAGAAGAAAACAAATTGTGCAACAGAACTGCAATTGCTATTGAATACCTTCTAAAATACAAACATATCTCTTATATTCTTGCAGCGTTAAAGCATCTTGGTCAGTATATCATTTTATTATAACAGATAGATTTTCAGGATGACAGAAACCGGAATTTTTCAGCTGATAAGAGTTTGTAATACTGTTTAGGCTTTCTGTATGATTGTAAAATGTGAATGTGTTAGAGATTATAATGTGTTTTTTTTTTTTTCCAGACTAAAATGAGATTATTGATTTAAGAACAATATTAAAACGGTTATGTAGAGGAAGGAAATCCTATATGATTGCTCTAATTTCCTGGTAGTCCTACTAATATTATACCTTACATAAGTGAATTATATTTATTATCAGTATATGTTCTCTGTGGGTTGTTTTTTCTTAATTTTTAGTCTGGAATATTAAAAATATTAATTTAGAAGTACTTGTTTAAATCAATAATTGCAGTTTTTACTACTTTGCACTTCTACTTAAAAATAAGAGAAAACCCTGGTTTGCAATTAAATTGCTTGAGCTTCAGAGTTTGGGGTTTATTGTTTGGTTTTGGTTTTTTTTTTTTCCATTTAATTATCACAGAGGTGGCTACCAGGCTGTCCCCAGTCTGTTGTGAAAATATGGCCCAGAGCAGAGCAATCTTCACTATTTTTGTTCTTATCCGGAGTTGCAACCGGAGTGTTCCATGCATGGATGTGATCAGATATTCAGTTCAGGTTCTACTTAATGTTTCAAAGGTAACTTTAATATTTTACTTCTACAGGTTTATCAGCTGTAGACAACTTTATTGTGGTATTTATTTAGCCACAAAACTTCTGAATAAATTTGAAACAACAAAATTAATAGTTGTGAATAAAAAATAGTTTCTGAATTTTAGCTATGTTATTTTGAAATCAATTATCTACTTTGTAATAATTGTGATTTAAATTTCCTTTTGGCAAAAGAAAATTATTTAATTTAAAGTAGTGATTTTGCTTTTAACTGGTTATATTGCAAGGTATCCCAGGTATTGCATGAAACTGTGTAGAAATACATAAAACTGTGTAGAAATGCAAAACTGTAGGAGTTAGGATAAGCTATGAAGTTCTTTTAAGGTAGAAATTTATATGTTCCAGAAGACAGGCTACTTTTCCAAATTCATGTCATAGAATAGACTATATCTACGCTTTTGATTTCTTACAGAAATGATTATTTTCATAAATGCTTAAAGCTGCTTCAGTACTGTAGTAGTACTGTAGTTATTGACTACAGATTGATTGTTCTAGAGTTTTTTACTTTGAAATTTAAAATATTTGCTAAACGTAGTTTTTGATCTTATATTCATCCTACAGGCATTTACATTCAATTTCTTTTATTTCAGGAAAAAAAAACCCGCAACATTTAGGCTAAACTTATTTTGAAATTTCTCTAAACTTATTCTAATTTATTCTTCTACTTTAAATGTAAAACCAGATTCTATGGGTTTCTAAACAAGGGGCGGAAGCACAAAGAGTAGCTTTCTGTAACCTGTTATGATGGTGTAACATACAGAAGTTATTTCTATGGCTTAGATGCCAGATCAGCTACAAATTTAATGTAGGGGAGAATATGGATTTTGCTTTTTCCTCTAACCTGAAAGGGATTTGAAAGATCTGTCATATAAACTCTCTTGTCTCTTTCTTGTATAACAGTATGAAAGAACTACTGAAGCAGTTTATGAAGTAGAAAATTCTGTAGATACGTTACTAGACCTATTGCAAATGTACAGAGGGAAAGCTGGGGACAAAATTTCAGAGAAAGGAGGAAGCATTTTCACAAAGACCTGTTGTTTGTTGGCCATCCTTTCAAAGGACTCAAAAAGAGCTTTGGTAAGACTTAAACTTTTTGGGTTTAATAATTTGATTTGCATGCTTTTCTTGCATGTTTTGGTGGGTTTTGTAATTTTTTTTTTCTGTCCCTTTCTATCAGACCTATTATGGCTGTAATATTAATTATGACTAAACTCTGATTACCAAAAAAAAAAAAAAAAAGCGCATTTCCAAGATGGTGAAAACGCTCGTTATTTTGTGCTTTGTATGCCCTGGTCACCCAGAGCTATTCAATAAGACACTGAGGTTCTGATCCTGCAATCCTTGCAAGACGATGATAGTGCAATCCCTATTTTCCACAGAGTTTTGATGACTTTCTGTCAATTGCTTAGCATTAGATATAGTTTAGTTGCCACTTAATTAACTTTTATTTCATTTCTGAAAGTTTACTGTTGCTTTTCAGTTAAAGTCAAGATTGTTAGTAATAACTGGCAATATAATTGCCCATGACTTTGTGTTGGCATACTCTATTGTAACAGAGACATAGCCTGTTTCTGAAAGAAATTTCCTTTATTCATGCCTGTTGCTAGAATCCCTAATAAGGTTATTAGGGTAGTCTGGGCTCTATGCTATAAATTCACTAGCTGGTTATCGATCAGATATAAGCACTTAAGTTATCCAGTCACCTCTTAACCATTGCATTATTCTTTCATTGCTATGAAGAAGGATACAAACACTAATTTCTCTCTCTCTACCAATCATTGAAGGCATATTCCAATGACATATGTAAAAATTGGTTTTAATGAGAGATTAGTAAAATATGACTTGCAAGAGCTTGAAATTTTCTGATATCTCAAGTTGCATACCAGTTGTTAAGTATTTTGAAAGCATTAGACCACTGACTTGTAGGTGTGCTGGCTTTTAAATCGTTTCACTGTACTTGTGGGTAGAAGTTCAGCTCAAATCATAAACATTCAGTTTTCATTGAATAAAATGGATTTCTTGATTTGTTAAGTTGCTTTTGTGCTTGTACTATTAACTGTGTACTATTTTCACCTTTTCCTCAGGAAATCCGAAGCATACCAAGAGCTGTTACTTGCATTCAAAGCCTATATAAACTTACAGCTCGTAAGCACAAAATGGATGCAGAGAGAACACTTGTGAAGCAGAAAACAAACAATTTAAGTGGAACTTCTTTTGTTCCAGTAACTCCTCTAAGAATAAAAACAGTTTCAAGGTAAGAGCTTAAAAATTAGTCTGCTGTTTTTGCTTTGGCAATATAATATTTTAATAACAAGCCACTAATTTTTTCACAGAATTAAACCAGACTGGGTTTTGAGGAAAGATAACATGCAAGAAATTGTTGATCCTCTGCAAGCAATTCTGATGGTGATGGATACTCTTGGTATTGCCTGCTACTGAAATGTAAATGATGTATATGACAATGTGTTTGTACAGCATGTATGTAGTAGACAGCTAAATGATTTTGAAAGAAAGCAAATAAGTATCAAGCTACCATTTAAAATGTTTTTTTCAAATTGCAATTAACATTTCTGTAACTTTTTTTGTGTTGTGTACAGCTTTTGAAATCCTATTTTGTACTACTACCGAAAGCAATTGTACAATAAAATCATAAGCCCTGGAAATTTCACTAGTGCAAGTGATGTGTTATTATTACATATCTGAGTTTTACAAATAGCGTGGTATTCCTTACTCTGATTAAACATTGTAGAATGCTGTTAAAAAAAGTTGTTTGTGTGGGACAGTTATGCTGGCTTGTCTGATCTGGAGAGGTATAGGTAGGAAGGGAGGCATAGTCTGTGGATCTCAAAACTGGCTACTGTTTTTGGGGAGCTTGAGTTTACTTACTAGAAAGGTTTTGATGGTTCATGTGCAACTAGGAATTTTTTTATAATTCCCTTTTTTTTTTAAACACTACATGATTATGATGGAACAATGGGATATTGTAAGGGTGAATTTAGAAATTTGGACCTGATATTTTAAGGGAGGTGATTTGTGAGTGCTTTCTTCCTATCAAGTTAGCAGTACATACAAGCATGTATCTCATCCAGCTGAATAGATTGTGTTCATCACAGCACCTCCCTTAAATTCTGCTCTCTTGTGCCTTGGAATTGAATTTGCTTAGAGCAAGGCCAAGAAAACAAAAACAGTAAAATTATACCCTCCCATCCCCAAATCTAAAGATTATGCCTCCCAAGGGTGAAGCGTGATGCTAAATCAACTGATAGCCTTTAGTCACTTAGGAGATAATTCACTGTAAATGAGTGTGTTGTGGTTTTTTTTGTTGGGGTGTGTGCTTGTTTTTTAAAAAGACTCAAAAGGGGCTAGCTGTATACAACAAAACCCAACAGACAGATAATAGTAGTGTCTATGTTCTTAATGTAAGAGCTGGAATAGTGAATAATATATAGAATGCAACAGACTGGTTTTATGGGGGTAGGCTGGAGGAGGGGGGAATTTTCTATTTCCTCTAATTTCAGCCAAGATAAATAATGTGATAACAGAATGCCCTTTAGACTTGGAACTTGGGAGGTTCTGAGGGGAGCAGTGTTCAATTAGTTTAAATAGTTCCATAAGCTTGTTGCCTGATTTCACTGTAAAATGGTAAATTCTGTCATATTTACTTGTAAAGTATGCCAAATGGAAGTTGAATTCTGCAAGTCTGGTGTTAGGATATTTGGATAACTAAAATAAATGAAAATAGTGTTTTCGGTGAAATAATTTGTTACAAAATACCATGGACACTAAGGCATTTGTGAATACCTTTTTAAAATCCAGTTAATTATTTACAAAAGTAATACTTGGGGAGTTTTCACAGGTGGTGGAAATTGTTGATGGAGACAGTAATGAAGATGAGATTTAAAAGCTGTTTTTTCTTCCTAGTTACAATGTATTCAGGCAAACTCTTTGCAGAAGGTAAATACACTGAATTCTACTGTTAATAAATGTACATTGAATCTAGAACATGCAGTCTAAGGTAACTTAAGTCTTTCATATCTTTACCAAGAGTAAATGCTGCTTTTTAAATATAATTTTGTTGTGAGATGGCTGATGATTGTGATTTAACTGTCGCTGTAGCTCACAGCTATAGATTGACATCTAAGCTTCAAAGCTGTAAAATTGAAAGGTTCAGACTTTCATTCAGGAAAAGTTTATTTTGAACAGTATTTGAGAGGTTTTGAAGCACTCAGACTTTGTACTACTAAAACATTTTATATATTGAAGTGTCTTGGTGATTGAAGTGTCTTGGCTTACTACAAAGCAAAAAAGTGGAAGTTAAATGGAACCTGCAGAAGCTAGTCTGGAGTGGTTCTGCATTTCCTATCCTTATTTTCAGTATTGCTTAAAATTCCTGGGTTTATATAGTTTACATATCGCTTGAACTGCAAGTTTACAAAGCTCTGGACTGTATATGAGGGTACACCTCCATTAATTCAAAAGGTATCCCTTTTTTTGCATTTCATTTTGTATCTGCTAATGTATATTTAACTCCAACATATTTGTTGCAACTACCTCTCTTCACTAGAGTTTTGTCCTTTTGCAAAGCAGTTGAGATTACACTGATACCCTTTGAAAGTCAAACAAAAGGTATGTAGGTAGCAACCATTTCTGTCTTTTAATTACTTAAAAATCTTAATTACCCTCAGTGTTTTGTTTTGGTTTTTTTTTCTATTTAGATGTGATACAGTGGCTGAAGGGAATTATTAAAAAAATTATCTTGGCAATTTCTATTTAGTAAAAATACTAAATTTGCAGAAAATTCTAGTAAATGCAGTAAATTCTAGTGGCATTATTGAGTAAAAGAGCAATAGTTTGTTATTTTGGTTCTGATATGCATAGGGTGAAAGCAGCAGTACCATCTTGTGGGAAAATTCTGCCCAATTATAATGAGATTCACAGGTGGTGATTCAGTTTTTAAAACTTGGTTCTTCAGGTTGGATTGCCTTGTAATGCCATGGAAAGAATTTTTGAGGCCCAAAGGATAATTTTATAAGAAATCCAAACATAAGTATTGCTGCTTTTTTGTTTGTTTGTTTTTAAAAAAAACTTAATGTCATACTCAGCACAACTCCTTTTAAGGGTTTTGTCCTCTTACTGGCTTGGCTTTTCTTTAATTGCAGTTCTGCTTGTTCTTTCCTTAACCTCCATTTCTTCTTTCTTTTCCATTGGATCTCTTATTAAATTCCATTTCTTCAGCAAGTTTAACTCCTATATTGCCTCCTGGCAGTTTGTCATACTGTTCTGATAATGTTTGCTGAATGAGGAGCTATGGCATAGCTAGTCTTGATATTGTTGCCATTGGATTTTAGAGCAGGCATTGGTATGTTTATGCAGCAAAGGGTGTTCATGTTTACATCTTCTGGGCTACATAAAGAGTCAAATAAATGTGTCCTGCATCAGTTTTGCTTGGTTCACATTAGGAAGTTTCATTCTACAGCTGATATTCCTGTGAACCTAAAGAACAAAAGCTGATATAATTGTAATATCTTGATTTCAGTGAGTTTTGCAAGACCCTTCATGCTTGTAAGTATTCAGAATACCATTCACCTTGCCTGAAAGCCTGAATCAATCCAACTGATATTAAATAAATTAATGCAAAAAAAGTTCATATCTGGGCTGAGATTTTTAGTGAGAAATATATTTATCTTTTTGCAGGTAAACCTTGTGATTTGCCATACATAGAAAATGGAAAGATTGCCCAGTACTATTATAATTTCAAAAGTTACTATTTCCCTATGCATAAGGAAAAAAAACTTTCCTATTCTTGTATGGTTGGTTATACAACTGAAGCTGGGACTCAAAATGGAAGAGTAACTTGTACAGCAGAAGGATGGTCTCCAGTGCCACAATGCTACAGTGAGTTAGCTTTATTAATCTCATCACTGCTTCTAGCAGGAAACTTTTCTAGCTGGATTTCCTTGAACATATAGGAACAGAAGCTGCATAGCAAAAGGGATAAAATGTAGAAGTTAGGACAACAAGGTGAAATCAATGCTTTAAGTGTACAAACTACGTATGTTTATACGTGGAATGTTTTTACAATAATACAAATTTTAAGGGCTTTTACCATATGTGTTTTTGTAAGAACACCAAGGAGGTTGCCCAGTTTCCTTGTTTTGGGAAAACTAATAGTGTCTCCTCAGATGTATATCCTCTAGATTCCTTGGTGGTTGTGCTATTACTGTTGGTTTGATGTATTGTTTGAAGAAACTCTACCCCAATCATCAATATGTCAAGAAAAATAGATTAGATCAGGATAGCTAAAAGCCCCCTTCTTTTGTTAATCATAAACAAAAATATTCCATTAATTCTTTCTTTCTAACCAAGCTGTCTCCTTTCATTTAGAAAAATGTAACAAGCCTCTTTTAGAAAATGGCTTTTTTTATGGTACAGAAATGTACTTCAAAATACATGAGAAACTGCAATACAAATGTAATCCAGGCTACCACACTCCAAGCGGTGGTACTGAAGATACAGTACAATGTCAGCCAGAAGGATGGTCTTCCCAGCCCAGCTGTACTAAAAAATTGGGTAGGATTCTGCATTTTTCTCCGTTATAATCTGTCTTATATGCATACAATTCTGCTATCCTTGCCGTCCCTGTAGGGCCAAACTGCCTATGTCAGGTTATCATTTCAGTACTCCTAAAGTAGGTTCTCAGCTGTACCTCATGGGAAGAAGTCAAATTTCACATGCTGCTAGTTTTGTGAATTTGTATAGATAAAGCTGTATATAGAAGGAATCAGTATAGATGAAATTGCATTGTTTCAAATAAACCTACTGCCATCCAAACTTTCTTCCCAAATGATGACTGGAATCTTGTGTAAGTTACTGCATTTTTAATTATTCATTATTTGCAAAGATTTTGCCTTGGATATGACCACTTTTAAGGTGTTCCCAAGGAAAATTTTAGATTAATAACTTGAAATGAAAAGAGCAATTAATATTATGCATATGCTTTATTTATTTAAGAGTCGTGTCAAGTACCCAATTTACAGCATGGCAGCTACTTCACAGTCCAACAAGAGTTTCAACTGAATGAAACACTGCTATACAAATGTGATGAGGGATATCATACTGCAGGAGGAAACACTACAGAAGAAGCAGTGTGTCTAACACATGGGTGGTCCCTTACTCCAAACTGCGCTAGTATGTAATGGGCTGGAAAATGATTCTGTTTGAAATGTGATTTATTCTACAAATGAACAAAAATTTACAAAAAGGCTTGTTTTAGAAGCTGTTGGGGTGGGGGAGGGGGAACAACACACGGGGACGGGACAGGGTGGGGAAGTCTTCCTCAACTGGTTTTCACTCCTGTGTGTTTTCTTCCTAGAAATGACTTGCTCTTCTTTGAGCGCAATAGCACATGGAGGTTTCTATCCTATGAAGAAAATCTATGAAGAGGGAGATGTAGTTCACTTTTTCTGTGAGGAAAATTATTCTGTCACTGAATTTGACCTAATTCAATGTTATTATTTCGGATGGCATCCAGACCCTCCAGTATGTGAAGGTACCTTATTTTTATAACTTTACTGTGTCAAATTCTTAGTGGAAGAACTAGCGCTTTCCTTCATGAAATGCTTTATGAATACAAAATAAAAATATGCCCGGAGTTGTGGTGAATGGAGTTAAAGCCAGTTGGCAACCGGTCACAAGTGGTGTTCCCCAGGGCTCAGTTTTGGGGCCAGTCTTGTTTAATATCTTTATCAATGACTTGGACGAGGGGATGGAGTGCACCTTCAGTAAGTTTGCAGATGACACCAAACTGGGTGGGAGTGTTGATCTGCTCGAGGGTAGCATGGCCCTGCAGAGGGATCTGGACAGGCTGGACTGATGGTCTGAGGCCAACTGTATGAAGTTCAACAAGGCCAAGTGCTGGGTCCTGCACTTCAGTCACAACAACCCCATGCAACGCTACAGGCTTGGGGAAGAGTGGCTGGAAAGCTGCCTGGCCAAAAAGGACCTGGGGGTGTTGGTCAACAGCCAGCTGAACATGAGCCAGCAGTGTGGCCAGGTGGCCAAGAAGGCCAGCAGCATCCTGGCTTGTATCAGGCATAGTGTGGCCAGCAGGAGCAGGGAGGTGACTGTCCCCCTGTACTCAGCACTGGTGAGGCCACACCTGGAATACTGTGTCCAGTTTTGGGCCCCTCACTACAAGAAGGACATTGAGGTGCTGGAGCGTGTTCAGAGAAGGGTGATGAAGCTGGTGAAGGGTCTGGAGCACAGGCCTTATGAGGAGCGGCTGAGGGAACTGGGATTGTTTAGCCCAGAGAAGAGGAGGCTGAGGGGAGACCTTATCGCTCTCTACAACTACCTGAAAGGAGGTGGTAGTGAGGTGGGTGTTGGTCTCTTCTCCCAAGTAGCTAGCGATAGGACAAGAGGAAATGGGCTCAAGCTGCACCAGGGGAGGTTTAGATTGGATATTAGGAAAAATTTCTTCACAGAAAGAGTGGTCAAGCATTGGAACAAGCTGCACAGAGCAGTGGTGGAGTCACCATCCCTGGAGGCTTTCAGAAAACAGATAGACATGGCACTTTGGGACATGGTTTAGTGGGCATGGTGGTGTTGAGTTGATGGTTGGACTGATGATCTTAGAGGTCCTTTCCAACCTTAATGATTCCTAGTTTTTACTTTCATTATAAATAATCCAGCCACCAAGCCAGGAAACATGAAATTGTTACTCTACCCTTAATTGGTTTAGTGGTGGACTTGGTAGTGTTAGGTTAATGGTTGGATTGGATGATCTTAAAGGTCTTTTCCAACCGAAATGATTTTATGATTCTATGATTTTTTTTTTTTTTGTACCAGTTCACAGCCTAAATAGAAATCAAGTGTTAGCTGAAAGGCATGGAGCCAAGATAGCAGGGAGGGAGGCAATGGTAATTGGAATTAGCTTTCAGTGGACTCTAACAATAGAGCAGACACTGTTTCTTGCTGATGTTGTATCATGGAGAAGCAGGAATCAACAAGTACAGGGAAGTTGTTCAGCCCCTGAAGCTCCAGTTAAACCATGTTTAGATTACACGAAGGTTTAATCAAGCATGTTAATCCTGCCTTATGAGGTGGGAACATGGCTCTTGGGAGGCATTAACATTTCTAACGCATTCCTCCTGAGCTTGGGGATTGTGGTACTTTTCAGAGTTTTACAGCATCACCAAACTGTACATGTGTTCAACAGAATTAAGCAGAAAGGTCATCTGGAGGACAGAAATACACCTTTAGCAATTACTATCACTTCCCCAGTCATTGGGGGATAATGGAGATTCTCAGAAAAGAAACTTTCAAAAGAATGAAAGGTCTAGTGAACCAGATGAGATAGAGTGTACAATAGAAAACAGTACAAATCAACATTTAGCCTAGCTGAGAATTTATAATATCGTTCAACATACCTTTGTGGTTGTGGGTCATTGTCTTATCTGGATATTGTCCCCTTTCTGAGGATTACTCCTGAGCTTTAGGAGATCTCGCTGCCTCATGGTAACAAATTCTCTGCTTTATATACAAGGCATGCCAGGTGTTGATGACAGAGGATGGGACAATCAATAATTTTTATTGGTTTAAGCTAAATCTATGGTATTAATTTCCAATATATTTTTACAGGAATTTTTCCCATGAAGTATGTTTTCTAAGGCAAATTTAATAATCATTTTGTGTGGGGTGCTTGAGATTTAAAAAAAAAAAAAAAGTATTTAGCCTTTAAAAAAATATAGACATGATAAGCACAGTTTTCAGTAAAATTAGTTTTTTGTAATTCCTTCATAGCTAATCTTGTAGAAGACTATGTGATTGAGCACGAAGATGAAATTCATCTTCTTTTCTTAGAAGATACAGTAGCATTTAAAATGCACTAGAATCTTTCAATTAAATTATGTGTGTTAGGACCCCAGCCATTCTGTTGTCATTCTGACAACA